CTTTACTAACAGAAGAGGTATAGAACTACACTATAGCTACTTATTATTGCTATCAGGAACGCCCGAACAGAGAGGACGATATAACTGCCCCGCCCCTCCCCTTCTCTTTTTATCAGCAGGAACAATTCTGAAGGTCGAGCTTAGTTGCAGGCTGTCATTTTCTAATAATGCCTGATTTTCATGGGTTATTTTCGAATAAATGGTTATTAATTATTATGGGTTATTGTGATTCATTTTGACCAATCGCGTGAGTAGATTTAGGCCAATGCACGAAAATTGTATATAGAGGATATTACACGGTTGCGAGAAGATATGGATTTTATGTTCGAGTGGCAAAACTGAACAATATCTCACGAGTGAGCGCAGCGAACGAGTGAGATATTGTTCCTGCCACGAGAACATAAAATCTATATCTTCGAGCAAACCGTGTAATGTTCTGTTTATTATATGGACTAAATTATGAGTGAAAAAAATACACACAAAGGCGACAAGAAAATTAGCCGCGGAAGACCATTATAAAAGCAAATATTTTCTAAATTATAACCTAAACACTAAAGTAGATTAATTTTTCCTTATCTAAGGATGTATTATGTGTTTTTGTTTGTATTTCTAACGTTAATTTCGTTTTATAAACGAACCAAAGGCCATTTGTATTTTCACAACAACAACAAAGAAAATGGCGAGAAAATTTTCGAAACTCGTTATGTCACCCCTAAACGTGACATACGGAAAATACGCACACCTGGTCCCGGATGTAGTGACGTATGAGTTCTACGAGTGTTTTAGTTCTCAGTAAAATACCCCCAATTAAAATATTGTAAATTACGTTTTGGTTTCCGATACCCATGCATTAATTATCCCTTGGTATTCACCACCATAAATTTTGCAATGATTTTTCCAGCTAGAAAGACGTTAAAAAATAAAAGAAGAGTATAAAAGGACCCTCAACAAACTTTGAAAAAATTGGGCTGTTCGAATATTCCAGTAATAGATATTTCCAAAAGTATACATTATCAATGTTAGACATTGCAATCCCAGTTAACTCAATGAGCCTTAGGGATTATAATATCCTAGAACTATAAACTGATAGCTGTGTTGAACTAAGAACTAAATGTGTGAAGAAGTGGTAAAAATCCCCTGTGAAGAAGAGGTAGTAATCCACTGTGAAGAAGTGATAATAATTCCCTTTGAAAAAGTGGTTGTTATATCCTGTGAATAAGTGGTAGTAACCCCGTTTGAAGAAGTGATACTAATCCCATGTGAAGAAACGGTGGTAATACCCTGTAAAAAATTGGTAGTAATCCCCTGTGGAGAAGCGAGAGTAACCCCCCCACGTGAAGAATTGGTAGCAATCCCTTGGGAAGACGGGGTAGTAATCTTCTGAAGATGTGAGTAACTTCGTGTGAAGAAGTGATAGTACAACCCCGTGAAGAGATTTTAGTAATCCCCTTTGAAGGAACGGTGGTAATCCCCTGTGCAAAAATGGTGGTAATCTCCTGTTAAGAAGTGATAGTAATCCCTTGTAAAGAAGTGGTAGTAATCCCGTATGAAAAAGTGGTAGTAATCCCCTTTGAAGGAGTGGTAGTATTCTTCTGAAGTAGTGGTACGCAATAACTCCGTGTGATCTTCACAGTGATAGAAACCCCTGTGAAGAAATGTTAGTAGTCCCGAGACAGTTAAAAAGGAGGAAATGTCTTCGGTAAATAAGGAGCGATAATTCACTGCACATAAGGAAGCCAGGTACTGCTCATGGCCACAATGTGACCATCGGGGAATGCCAGATTTGAAAACGTTTTTAAGACATACGGCCTATAAAAAGGCCCTCGAAAACAAGCCATAGGTAAACAAATACTTTTTTTTTATTTTAGGCTACTCATTGGCATATAAAGATATTATATCCAATCATACTATCAATTCGGAGGTTGAGTGTTCCTGGAATTGTCTTAAAGAACCCACATGCTTAGGATACAACTACAGAGCCAACAAACATGCAGTGAATTGCCAAACCAGTAACAAAACGCAAGACAGTGATATGGTCCAAAATGGAGAATGGACCTTTTTTCAGGTTGGGTGAGATAATTTATAGCAATTATATCTTCAGGTTAATCATTCCCAGTCACAATCTTAGGTAAATTATCCCCGAGCGTTTCCCTGCGGGGGTACTAAATCAGCTAGGAGATCAATTACACCCGGGTATTTTGACAGAACATAGCGGAATCCAAAGTTGCCCAAATTCTATGTCATGGACCATGGACGTTCAATGGTCATGGTATTTGTGTGCACACGCAAAATTTTAACGAGTGAAAACTAGTAATTAGCAACTTGCTGATTGGTTAAGATGAAACGTTTGTGTTTCAGTGAAAAACGTCAACAATCTAACTGTCATTTTGCAAACTATTTTTTAAAAACATGTTTCCAAAACACAACATTAAATGGCATGGAATTAAATCAAATAAAAGATGAAAACAACGGGAAGAGTTATAAAATATTATCAGAACTGGAAGCGTTAGCGGTGAAAAGGAACAGCTCGTAGCTTATAATCCTTGCAATGGTAATTTTTAATTTCGAGGTTTATTTCGTGTTGGCTGTACAAATACATTTCATAACTTTGGTACAGCATGTCATTTTGCTCGGTTTTGCAACATAACCGACTATTTAAGGCTTAAAATCATCGTTTTAATTTCAGAGTTTTAATGTAAGAAATATCAAATAAAGCTTTTATAGAGTCGACTGCAATCACGGCATTAATTCAACAATGAAAAACAACATTCGACGTTTACTGCTTGGTTATTTATATTATTTGTGCTGTCTTGACGTTTTGTGTGAAAATCTATAACTTTATTCAACGTAATGCAGCAGGCGAACGGGTAATTCACTTCACCTTTTCGACTGTGTTTGTTTCCGGAAAATTTGAAACACCACTCATCAGCTCAGTATAGCCATAGGCTTTACACATGTCATTTCAAAATATATACTTATGAGGTCTGGCTAGTTAAGGAAATATTTTGCTTCGTTTGAAATGGCGAGGGGTTGCTGCATGCATGTGTTTCTAGTATGTATCTAATTATGTTCAGTATTTAGCTTGTAAATGTTTGGATATTCCTAGGCTACCAGTCTTGAAGGAACGACTTTAAACTTGAAGTTTCTGTACATCGCCGCGAAAAAACTGTTTAATTAAAAAACGATGCCTGTCGTCTTTTGCAGTTGAGGATTAAAGCAAAGTACGTCACTCTATGGAATGTAATAAAAAGCAAATATTTTCTTTGCTTTGGAATTGCGAGGAAAAAGGTCTTTATTGCGGAGTGAACAAAATGACATAAAACCTATAATTATCATGTCTATATTCGTTGCAGAAAAATTAATAGTCTTAAAATATGCAAATATCAGCTTTCTCATGGTATCAAGCAGGGATATTTACATTTTTTTTCGACGATAAGCCGCTCTATCTCCCATGCTATTGAATTAAAAAATCAAAATTTGTAGTTTTTTAAAAGTCACTCGTATTTCTCGTAGAGCCTTCGCACCGATTGCACGGTAGTTTATACCTGCTAGGGAACTCTATTCACTTGTAACTTACACCAATACTCCCTTCATTAATTTGACGTTTAGATCTCTGAAAAATCGTATCTTACGAATGGCTGTAGTTGATGGCTGTGTTTACAAAACTAGTTGAAAAATCAACATGCACACTTTCAAAAAATTCAAAAATTGTACGTCAAATTTCTTATTTGAAAAAAAGCATTAAAGCAATAGTCACTGGCCAGTGACTAAATCACTTCAGAAACAGTAAATTTTGACCAATTAGAATACATTGTCCGAATCAATATAGTGACCTCGAAATTTATACTAATTATTATTATATTTTGTCGATGGCAAAATAATGACTTAATTGACGAAATATCTACAATCTGATTTAAACGCTGTCCTACCCAGTTCATGCAAAAGCGCCATTCAACACGAAACGTGAAACTTTGCAGGTTGACGAATCGTCAACACAATTTTATAACATTAGAGATCTTAAGATTGGATTGCTGTGCTCTTCAAATGTGAGAAAAGGCATACACAGGTTCTCTTCTAAGATATAAAGGATAACAACAAGGGAATGCTTCAAATTTATTTAAGCATTTCGTAAACACATCCTGAATGCACTGTAAACATTCGATAAAAAGTTTTTTCCATTATCTCAAAGTGAATTAATTTTCCTTAGCTTTTACAGGATCCTGCGCTGAGCCATTCTTAATTGTTTATGTGAAGACCAATGAAATCTTAGCAATGGATACGGCGACTCTTAATACAGAAGTCAGAAATCTTAGTAATCACTACATCGTCTCATTAGATATCGATAGTGGGGATAAAAAGATATACTTCAGCGATTAGTATCATTTATATCAAGCAAATTTTAGCGGAGATGTTCGAAAAGTAATTCATAACGGTACTGGCGTAAAATATATAACTAACAATTGATTGGATTCAAAATCGTATATTTTGGAGTAATTGGAATACGTTTGCTATATATGTTGCTAATTCAGACGGTGAAGATAGCAGGGTGTTTATCAGATACACTCGATTCGAAGCCCCACTTAAGCCGGTTTTCCACTAGGCGGAATTTTGCGCGCGGAGCGACATTTTCCGCGCGACATTTTCCGCTCGCAAATCAACGGTAATTTCCACTTGGGCATTGTTCTGCAGCGGGAAAACCATTCAAAATGGCAACCTCGTAGCTAAGGTCTTTACTCGTGGGGAGAAAATATTTTCTTCCCACGAGTAAAGACCCTGGGTACGAGGTTGTCAAAATGGCGGCAGTAAACAAATGATTTCTGATGAGAAAGCTTTTGATACTTCTGCTGCTTAGAAGAAGAATTAAAAGAAGGGAGCTGAAGTACAAGAAAGACTTTTGGGTTCGGAAGATATTTCAAGAAAGAACCTCAAAAGGTGAATACCATTTGCTCGTGCAAGACCTCAGGTTATTCGACACCTTGTATTTCTTCCAGTGCTTCAGGATGACCCCTACCACATATGAAAAGCTACTGTCTTGGGTTGGCCCTTTAATCACACGAAAATCAACAAGAATGCGTGAGCCAATAGGGGCTAGTGAAAGACTTTGTGTTACTCTGAGGTACCTAGTTTCTGGAGATGCTCAAGTTAGCATAGCTGCAAGCTATCGAATAAGCCCTTCTGTTGTTGGTCGTATTATAAAAGAAACTTGCCAAGTCATATGGGACACACTAACTGAGAAAGGTTTTCTTAGTGTCCCAAATTGTGGAGAAGACTGGAAGAAAATTGCTAATACTTTTGAGGAAAAGTGGAATTTTCCTCATGCTCTTGGAGCTATTGATGGAAAACATATTGTCATACAAGCCCCAGCTCGTGGAGGGTCAGACTTTTTCAATTACAAGAAAACTCATGGCATAGTCTTGATGGCAGTATGTAATGCAGACTACAAGTTTCTGCTTGTGGATATTGGTGATGCAGGACGGCAAAGTGATGGGAGTGTTTATACAAACAGCCATCTTGGTTATGCTATATTGACAATAACCTCTTAAATATTCCCAACCCAGAGAAGATTGGAAATTCAGATGAGATATTTCCCTATGTATTTTTGGCAGATGATGCCTTTGGATTGAAAACCTACCTAATGAAGCCTTATCCTGGTCAGAATGTACCAGAAGACCAAAGAATTTTCAACTATCGACTCTCTCGAGGTTGAAGGATAATAGAAAATACATTTGGTATTGCAGCTTCACGATTTCGAGTTCTGAGAAAGCCAATCATTGCAGAGTTGACACTGTTATACAAATTACAAAGGCTGTAGTTGGACTACGCAATTTCTTAATGCAGAACAGATTACCGGACGACAGCCATAGTTATTGTCCATTTAACTATGTTGATCAAGAAAGTGTAAATGGTGTTAAGGCTGGTCAGTGGAGAAATGACACATCCCCAAATACCTCTCTATATCCAATTTCAAGGGTTGGTTCAAACAACTACTCAAAAAGTGCAAAAACAACTCGTGACAACTTCAAGAAGTATTTTAATTCTCCAGAAGGAGAAGTTAGTTGGCAATGGGACATGGTACGCCGGGTTACAATCCCCTTTGATGAAAATGTATGAGAAGTATGTATTATATAATACGTTTTTGGCATTATTGAATTATAAATGAACAATATTTATTACAAACAAATAAAATTATATTACACTGATATATATAAATTATAATAAATATTATTTAAAATATCTGTTAATAACATAATTAATATCTATATAATTCACTAATCATGTACAAAATAAATATATTTGTAATAAAATTACATGTTATACAATATTAATTTTAGCAGTTAATATTATAACATGTTCAAGGCACTTTAATCGATTATTACATCACATATACATACTTTTTGGTCTTGGAGCCTCGCTCTCATTAGTAAATTATGCAAGGTGATTGGCTCATGATTAATGAGAGTGAGGCTCCCAGGCCAAATGATATAATTATCAAAAGGGTTCAACTTTGCAACAAAAACTGATTCAACTTTGCAACAAAACGTGATTCAACTTTGGAACAAAAACTTTGTAAACTAATTATAACAGATGTTTACAAATACAGCTCAAATGCATTTCAACCAATAACTAATCTAATTCCTCAAATTCTAGGTCATACAATACTTGCTGAATCTTAAGTTTGGCTTGTCTATTTTTTTTGGCAGGAAGCCCCTTCAAAGTGGGAATAAGACTCTTACAAAATAGAGTGTCTGCATCTGTTGTTTCACTTACTGCAGGAATTTTGGGTTTCTCCATGTCTTTCAGTGTTTTCACTAGCATGGTATCAATAGCATAACCAATCTCAGCCCTCTCCTTAGCAGATTTTTTGGACTTCATGTTGATAGGGCTATTATCAACCACTTCCTGAAAATTTCTTTTTGTTCCAACTTGGGTTACAATCTCTTGTGTATGTTTACTACTTGATGATTGGACATCCACTTTTTCATCAGGGACTGTGATTATGTTAAATTTGCTTTGTGTGGGCTTGTTGGCTGTCTTGTCACAAAGAAATGCAAGTTCATTATAATACTTGCACATAGCAACTTTGGATGCAGCAGCACCTGACTTTGTTGCCCTGGCTTGTCTGTCCAGGCATCTTTTCAAATTATCCCTCAAATACTTGAACTGGGTCTTTAGGAATTCAACTATAGAAACATATATCTTAATTGTAATATGGCATTGGAGAGAATAACATGTTAAAGGCTGTTTTGGCATGAAAGGGTTTCTATAAACTACCATAAAGCACACTTCTCCCCCATTAACAATGTTATGTCATGAAATGTTTAAAATCACTAGAACTATAGTTTAATCACTCAATAAAACTATTATTGCATTCATCTTCAGCCATTATGGCAAAGACAAATCCAATAAGGGCCATTCCAGTTAATATTTACATCCCCCAGTTCACTAGCTCTTGATATATTTACCGCTTAGGAAATATTTTTAAGTCACTACCGGTACCCCTCAGAAAATTGTTTGAAATTTAAGTCATCCATGTGAAATTTTATGTTGCCCTTTGAAATGTACAGTTCACAAAGTCATGAAATATTGACTCCCCTTAATATTGAACTCTCTTAACCCCTGAAATTTTTACACAATTTTTTTAACCTTAAGAAATCTTACAATTTTTTGTCATCTTCGGCTTCAGAAATTTGATAGGGCTGCATGTCCCTGTCCATATGTTAAAATGGCTATCAATAACTTTACTCAAAGCTTTATAAGTATATATACATTAATTAGGACACTCACCTTCTTTACCGAACATGACTGAAAGTCTGTTCCAAGCATAGGCAATTGTCTTATTTCCTCGATGAATATACCCGTATCAAACTCAACAACGTTGTCCTCATCAAGGTCTGCATTTACAACATTTTCCGAGACAAGGGTCTCTTCTGCCAAATTTTCATCAATTTCAAATTGACTGTCAGCTATTTGTTCGTTAAAATCACAAGAAAAACTGTTACCTGGAACTCCTGAAAGATTCAACTGGGAGGCCATCTTGATTGTTGAGGTTAGATTTCTAGCGTTTTGATTGGTTGTTTCTATTCATCGGTCGCGCGGAAACTGAAAAAGTTGAACTGCTTTCCACTTTGTGGCTGCACAATTAGTGCAAAAAAATGCACAAAAGCGCAACAGCAGCGCAGGAATATATTACTTTTGCGCATGCCCGAAAAATGTTTTGGCGGAAAATGTCGCTCCGCGCGCAAAATTCCGCCTAGTGGAAAACCGGCTTTACATAGCAGTGGATCCAATCAAAGGGTAAGTACGAAATCTGCTGGGAGTTTTAAGCTTTATTTCGTAAATATATAAAGATAAATTAAGCGTCTCGTGACCAATCAGACAGCAGCACTAATTTTAGCAGGGCTTTTTGCACTAGCAGTACGCGAAAAACCCGGGAACGAAGATTCACTAGCTCGATGGTTTCACTCAATAGCTATATTTTCTTTACCACTCGAAATAAAATTTCATCTTTCCGTGTAACTGTGTAATATTCCCTATTCATTCAACGTAGTTAATAGCTTCCACTACAAACACATTTTCAATTTCTGTTTCATACATGCGTGTAGATTCTTGTTTTGGGTTGAAAACTATGAAAACGTGAAACGAAGAAACCTAAAAGCACAAGATACGAAAATTTTAAACACGCCGTTTACGTCGTACAGAAGCCTGACCTTAGACCACCACAACCAACCGAGTATATTTGGTAACTCGTGACAGCAACGTGTTTTCAATGGATTATGATGGAGGCCGAGGAGACACGCTTTCACTGCAAATATTTCATTATTACAAAATATTACATTACGGAATAATAAATCATTACAGCTGGTTCGACATCTTCGAAGATTATATTTTCTTCCAGAAACTACATTCATCTGCCATATTTAAAATGGATATCCTAACCAGAAATATATATATCGCGGTATCTTCCTTTAAAATACAGCTACATTCGTAATTTTTATGTTATCGGGAGTTCTCGCCAACCAGCAGGTAAGCTTATTCATTAAATGTAACGTTCCTATCTACGAAGTGAACCAAAGAGTTCCACGTTTGATTTGTATGAATTTTTGCCTTCTTTATAATAAATTAGTTGAATTAATCACGAGGAAATCGCGGGAAAATACAATGTAGTAAAAAAGCCTTTCAAGCTTACATAAGCTCACCTACTATAGCCGAAACTTCACGTCTGTGGGAAAAATAGAATGGCTAACCCAAGAACATTAATTGTGTTTAAAATGTTGCATGGAGAAGCTGGCATTTTCCGTTTTGCACAATGAAAACTCAGTAGTTTACTCAACATGACGACTGAAGCAGGAGTTCGAGTTATAAGCGAGTTCAAGTTAAGCGGAGTAAATTGCTATAAAAAACACTGTCAAATTCAAGAGGAATTGGATTTAGTTCGAGTTAGCGAGGAGTTCAAAATGAGCGAGTTCGAGTTAGCAAAGGGCTATTTTTGTAATTTTAGTTCTATTTTTTCCAAAAAAGTTGTGACGTTTCTTTTCCGATCGAAATTATCAGTAGTGTTTCACTATGACTCATCCCTCGCTTTTTCTTAAAAAATAGGAGTATTTTCTTCACCATGAGTCAATTAAGATAGAGAATAATATGATGTGTCCATCAATCCTGTAATATTGGGTTAAATTCAAGTTCGAAAGGTGCTTTTTAGCCATTCTTAAAGGTCTAATTTATTCTTTTTTTCGTTGCTTAACCATGGTGTCCTATGTCAGTCAACTCAACTCATAGCCCCCTCCCCCTCCATTTAGGTTCAATATTGTGGTGCCACGCCTGTTTGTTATTCGAAAACCCAATATTCGTTATTTATATAATAATTACCATCGACTTTTTTTGAAATACAGCCTTCACTTCATAGTTCTTTGAAAATGTAAATAAAAATTCGAATTTATTTACAGGACAATGTCCATTGGAACCATGTGGTCCTTACAGTTACTGTACTAATGTCAATGGTTCATACTCATATTAGTGTGAACCAGGTTTTGAAGCACGAGACAGTGGAGAGTTTTGTTCAGGTAACTAATGAAATGTCAAATATTAGCTAATCATAAATTTTCAGTTTCAAAATTCGCATCAAAATAGTATTACCTCTCGTTTAGATATCGACGAATGCAGCTTGTTTAAATGTAATTCTACTGGATTTGAATCATGCCAGAATAATCAAGGATCTTAGTATAGACTGAACGGGATACAATACTTTTAGGTTCACGTCCGAGCCAATTGTCTTTAAGGTGGCTCGATATAGTATATCTAGTGGCGCTCTTGCGCGTGGAAATATACGGCTATATATACGGCTATAGAAGCCTCGCGATATTTGTCTAGTTTTATTTTCGAACGCACTGCCAAAACCAGCGAGAAACATTAACATAAATGCTGCTATCAGAATCAGAACAATCAGAACAGCATGCGAGGGGTGTTTGTTTCACGTGATTCGTGTTTTAGACCCCGTGCGTGTAACACGCAAAAATTTCATTTTTTGCCAAAAAAGCGCGCTATATCTCGTTATTTCGTACGGTGACCTATGCTGAAATTTTGCATGCTGTATTGTACAATACATATGTCTCTCATAATATTAAAAATAAAAAAAAATCTTCAAAAAAATGTCATTTTTGCATTTTTCAAAAATTTAGCATTATAGAATTTTTTTATATTTTGCTAATTGTTAGTTTTTCTTCCAAGTAAAATAATGCATGAAAAAAAACTGGGTGTCACCGTGCTTCTTTTCCAATTATTCGAGGCGATTGGTCATTTTGAAGTGAATCTTGTACACGTATGTCGCATAGCAATGGACGATCTGTTACTAAATCTAATTAATACTATTCAAATGTAGAGACATCAAAATAAAAATTATAAAACTCCAATATCTGTGGAATATATCATGAAAATGCGTCGTTTGACTCATAGACAAACCAAAAAACAGGGAACAATAAACTGTTAAATTATTGCTTTTACCAACATATTCTTTGCGTTATTGAAGCTACATATCACCAAATACCTGCGTGCGTTGTCTTTTTGCTGAGAAGTGTCTCCATTGTTGTTCTCGAAAATTGAGTTTAACATGAGCCCGCGAAAACAATAGCATTTCCAGTCCCTGTTTTCTGGATTGTCTAAGTTTGAACGTGTCAAAGTGATGAACAATGGAATTTTTGAAAACTGTATCGAGCCACCCCTGGAGGATAAAACACTAATATAAAAAGTTTGATATTATTCTCAACATCCAAAATAAATTCCATATTTTCGCGCATCCATATAAATATTCTCTCAATATATACCGAGAAATATTGTTCATAGGCACATGCAGCACAGTATGAAATGTGTGTTTGCTTTCGTAGAACTTGATATTCGAGTGAATATTTCAAGCAACAATAGAAGTGGAAGAGTGGAAATCTTCCATCCACAATTGGGCTGGGGTTCGATATGTGACGATTACTGGGATATGGAAGATGGTAACGTGCTCCGTCGTCAGTTGGGTTTCACTGGAGCTTCAACTGTAAGAGGATCAACATATAATGGTCAAGGCAGTGGTCCTATTTTGCTTGACGATATTATGTGTTTCGGGAACGAAACATATATTTGGGAGTGTAAACCGCGGATGGGGTCTGCACGACTGTGATCATTCGGAGGATGCTGGTGCTGATTGTTACTAGTCGCATTAAGTTCATCCCTCTTTTTAAAAGTAAGCATGTCCGATCATTACACTAGGTTTATTAAAGCATGGATTAGATTTGATCTGTTGATGTAACAGGATTTATATTACCTTGTTCTTTGAACACTTGACGTCGAGTGAAAAAAGCTGTGAAGAATTTGTACAATATAATCCGCGATCACCGGGTGAGGGTACTAATTCAACCCGGAGATTTTAATTACGCCCGGGAATGCATATGCGAAATGAAAGTTGTCCGCCATGATAGACGTTGGGCGTTTTGTAAGTTATGCGCATGCGTGAGTTTAAGACGAGTTAAAACTGGTAACTAGCAAACGTTTTCAAGCGTGTGATTAGCTAAATTACTAGAAATACATGCATGCAGCAACCCCTCGCCTCGGTTAGGCGAAATGAGTTAAGCATAGGGATGGTAAAATGATAGTTGGAAAATTTTGCGTGAGTCGGGGAGTTTGGAGGGTACTTGGTATTGTTGGTATGTGAGAAGAGAAGAATAAAAATATATTTCTGGAAGCGGAAGCACCGTAGTCATAGCAACTCGCAACTAACATCGCAACGGCCGTATATTTTCAAAGAATCAAAGTTTACCCTCATATTTTTGTGAAAAAAAAGGCAAAAATACGACAAGATTCTAACCATTTTCTGGAAGTTAAGTTATTCATCTATAGTCAGTGTTATGGTAAATTATTTTAATTATTAATTACCATGAAATATAACATCAGACGTCTCATACGACTTCCGAAGTTTTATGTTTACGCATCGACTGGTTTTTGCACGCGAATATTTTGAAAAAATGGAGTTTTTAAATGAAATTATAATGTCGTCTATCATATTACACATTCAGATTTGTAGTGAAATACGTTTGAGAATGCTAAAGTTGTGTTTACCACAAAAGAATGACTTTTTATACCTGTGCCTGGTCTTATTTTCAAGTGTAAAGTCTTCCGAATTCATTATACACGTTGAATTCGGTCGAAAATTTAGTCTTGTTTTTTTTTGTTAAACCGTAAAAAGTCCTGACCACATTCGACTGATTCGAGTTTCCCTCTGATGTAATTAAAAAATATATATATTCCATATTTATGAAAATATAAATAATATGAAAATATATTTATAAGTTTCTTCAAAATTTTGCTAAATGACAGATATGCATGTTTAAAAATACAAATATTTGTCTCGACCAATCAAGAGCTTAGTACACTGACGCATGCGCATAACGTAGAAGACCGTCCATGGCGTGAGGTCCATTGCATAATGGCGGACAACTTTGATTTCGCCTTTGCATATCCTGGGTGTAAATATCCGAGCGGAATTAGTACCCTCGCACGGTGCTCCGCACCGGCTCGGGGAAAATTCTGGTTCGCGTCAGCATAACTGATATTTTGAATTGTAAAACATTTCTAAAAATATTTGGATGGTTTTGAAAATATACGAAAAAATTCACTCGTAAATTGATTAGAATGTAAAGAAAATGATGCTTTCGGAATCCGAATTTCGGATAGAAAAACTTTGATTCAAATAGATGGTGAAAAATCTACGATTTTAAAGCATTTATGGAGTGTTTTTGGACAGGTTAATGGGTAGATTTTGTATTATATGTGGACTTATCAATAAACGTACGACACCTCTTTTAATTTATTCGTCAATTTCGTTAAGATGATTTTGATTGGGAAAGCATTTATTTTTAGAGGTGAATCTGTTTAAAAAGCAATTAAAATTTCACTAAAAATTGTAGTATTTAAAACTATTCGTAGCACAAGTATAATGAATTATGAATATAGTTGAAAATGATAGCTCGAGAGTCGAATTTATAATTGTACCAAGATATAGGATTTTACTTATATGACTTCGATTATTCAGCTAAAATGAGTATCATAGAATTTCAATGATGGAAACTAGAAATACATGCATGCAGCAACCCCTCGCCTCCGTTAAGCCAAATTAGTTAAGCATAGGGATGGTGACATGATAGTTGGAAAATTTTGTGTGGGTTGGGGTGTTTGGAGGGTACTTGGTATTGTTGGTATGTGAGAAGGGAAGTATGGAAATATATTTCTGGAAGCGGAAGCACTGTAGTCATAGCAACTCGCAACCAACATCGCAACGGCCGTATATTTTCAAAGAATAAAAGTTTACCCTCATATTTTTGTGAAAAAAAAGGCAGAAATACGACAAGATTCTAATCATTTTCTGGAAGTTAAGTTACTCATCTATAGTCAGTCTTATGGTAAATTATTTTAATTATTAATTACCATGAAATATAACATCAGACGTCTCATACAACTTCCGAAGTTTTATGTTTACGCTTCGTCTGGTTTTTGCACGCGAATATTTTGAAAAAACTGAGTTTATAAATGAAATTATAATGTCGTCTATCACATAACACATTCAGATTTGTAGTGAAATACGTTTGAGAATACTAAAGTTGTGTTTACACAAAAGAATGACTTTTTATACCTGTGCCGGGTCCTATTTTCCAGTGTAAAATCTTCCGACTTCATTATACACGTTGAATTCGGTCGAAAATTTAGTCTTGTTTTTTTTGTTAAACCGTTAAAAGTCCTGACCTCATTCGAGTTTCACTCTAATGTAATTAAAATATATATATATTCCATATTTATGAAAATATAAATAATATGAAAATATATTCATAAGTTTCTTCAAAATTTTGCGAAATGACAGTTATGCAGGTTTAAAAATACAAATATTTGTCTCGACCAATCAAGAGCTGAGTAGTTTACACTGGCGCATGCGCATAACGTAGAAGACCGTCCATGGCGTGAGGTCCATTGCATAATGGCGGACCATCGCCAGAAAAACGCGACATGCGATTGCGTAACACCTCGAACGCACGTATCTAATTGCTTTAATTAAAATATTTTTTATGTGAAATTGTATCAGAAGAGCACAATTCATTCAAAATATTAGCTAAACTGTTTGTGAACCACAACAAACGAAAGCAAGGCATTGTAGAGTAAGCGTCGGCCTACATTGCCCACTAACTACTTATCGTATTCTACAAATCGCGACTTGTCCCCTCCGAATTTTATGAAATTTAGATTTCTATACGACCGTTACTGTAATAATGCATGTCAAATAGACGGCAATGATTATAAAACAGGCGATAAAAATGACATGAGCGGACAAAATTTGCCAACGAAACTTGAAGTTATTACTCGAAGTTGTCTAGTTCCGTAATATATAAATATTTCGTTCGCTTACGTTATTCCCGTTTGTCCCTCGTAAAATATATTTAAACGCACACAAAGCGCTCACAAATCCTCCGCTAATCCTCCGACATGATAATTTGCATGTATACTAATTTGCATTTAACTTTCAGCATAATGGCCTTCAACTTTTACTATAAAATACATAGAGTAAATATACAAAACTTAAAAATGCCGTTGCCTTAGACCTTGCCTACTGTTTGCCGACCTCTAGATCGGTAGAGCAGCTGTTTAGAATCGTTTCGGTGACCAAATTTTTTAGCTTGGGCATTTCTGCAATCTGCCAAATTTAAAAATATATTGCTCAAAGTTTTATCCGTGTTCTGTCAACGAACTTATAAAATCGCTCACATTGATTGGAATATCTCGATTCAGGTAGTTGATAAATTATTGACGTGTAATATACCAAAAAAATTGTTAAGATATTGTCTTTTTCTGTACGGCTCGGATTTTCACTGCAATCACTTGAACAAGGAACTTGAACAATACGAAGGCTATATACACATTTGTTCACAATCAGTTGGCCGAACGTAGAAATACCTAAGGTAAGTAATTCGATCATTAAAACTTTGGGAAACGGCTGTTCTATTGACCCAGAGGTCGGCAAACAGTAGGCACGGTCTAGGGCAACGGCATTTTTAGGTTTTGTATATTTACTATATGTATTTTACAGTAAAAGTTGAAGGCCATTATGCTGAAAGTTAAATGCAAATTAGTATAAATGCAAATTATCATGTCGCAAATTTCTGGTAATGCAACTTTGATTTCGCCTTTGCACATCCTGGGTGTAAATATCCGAGCGGAATTAGTACCCTCGCACGGTGCTCCGCACCGGCTCGGGGATAATTATATGTTTATTGCTTCAGGCCAGGGGATTTTGCATGCATGTATTTCTAAACTACCCAAATAGATGGTCATCCATACTAATTTCATCCTTAGCAACGTAAAATTGCGCGTAGGGTAAATGGGGTATAAGAAAGCGAGGAAATTGACATTGCGTCTGTCGTTTTCAGCAGCTTTTTCTCTCGACCTTAACGTAAATTTTAGGCTGAAAATTGTTTTATAGGATGACAGTAAGCAGTGGGATGCCAAACTGGTTTTGTCCATAATATTTGTGTTGTGTATTACTCATTTCTTTTGAAATAGATTGTTTATGCGGCATGAATTTGAGCGAGAATAAGTATAACTATATATGCATATGATAATGCCCCCTCCTAATTATCGTCCTTGCGGCGCTAATGTAATTGTTCGTTATATTTTATTTGCATATAAGAATAGGTTTAAGTGGGAAATATACTAGTACACACTGTATGTCACTTTTGGATGATTTCCTGAAGAGGCTTTTGAATTTAGATAAAGTTGTACTTATATGTTATATATCGCCTTAACGAGTGCTAATACAAGTCTTCAGATTAAGAAGACGTCATTTTCACCATATGCCTTTTATTAACCTGCACCAGCTCAGCCCTTCTCTTCCTCCAAATCCTGCATCAAATTAATGATAACTGTGGATAAACTTCTGCTTTTTTTATCAACCAGAATTCACTAATTTCATGGTGGAAAAGGGTTAAAAACATGATATTCTTACTTATAAGATCGGAATATGCCTAAAGGCATTTCACTCCATTTCCGAACTTAAAGGTAGCAATAAAACTGAGGCTGAGGATTTTTGGATGACGCCGATAGTCGAAGCATTCCCATTCTCATTAGGCTTTTTTCCTCAGAGAGGGTAAATACAGAACTAGACAGAGTCAGTACTAACCAGCCTAACATAACAATGTCTGAACTATACAGGAATCTCGTTTCTATAACAAGGAAATTAAAGACAGAATTTACGTGAATATCTGGGAGCCATTTTGTTTCAAAGCAAGAATGTATTGCTTGGGATTTTGATTGTTTGGAGTGCCATTTATTGTAAAGGCTCCGAGGCAGCTGCTGAGCTGCAAGTTTTTTGTATTTTTAAAGTTCGTGTTTAGAAATATCTTATAATATTGAACAAGAAAGTAAGATTTAAACAAAATGCGTCGTTTGAAAAAAATTAAATATTTCCGCTGCACAATCAAAATCGTCTGCGATACCTGGGTTGAAATTCAGGTAGAATGGTTTCAGGATGGCACTTTTAGGGGCGTATAAATATTCTGACAAAGCACATGATATTGCTCACATTACGGACTGTACCAAATCTTTGAACTACATTCATTCTAACTGAAAGAGGTAGGTCACAGATATTAGAAAACTGTTTGTGACGATCTTGAGAAAGAGACAGTTATAAGGAAGGTTCTATTTTAATAATATATGGGATGCACAGTGTCATCAAACCTTAAACTTAACATGAATAGTGTCAAAAACGCATTGCTACAAAGTCATATCTTGCAATGTTTGTTGCAAGATTTGTTATTCTTTGTATTCGTGTCAAAAAAGTGAATGTGCATGAAAACGTCTAAACGTTGAAGATAAATATTGCCAGATTTTCACTCGAAAAAGCCTGAGAACTAGTTTCGTTTATCGTTTGCAATGCGGGAGAAATCCGTTCTCGGCAGGTCGTCTTCAACATCACAGCATGTGGTTGTTTGATAACAAAGACCACTGTCGACAAAACCAGATTTTGATCAAAGATTAGGTTTGATTTGCCGAAAACGAAGATGACAAAATTTTGATCTAAATTATTCGTTTCATTCTCGAAGCTGTACGACGCTCTTTAATATGATGTGAACCATTGAACTGATTGAAGGTGGGTAAGTAGATTATTATCACAGTAATTTGCTTCAGCACTGCAGAAATCAGAAGCGACAAGAAATTATGTTATGGTTGAGTCGCATATTTGTGCAATGCATTTTGTGTCACATTATTGAATTGCCAAACTAACTACAAGAATTCTACATCAGCGAGTTAAGAAGTATTCATGTCAACCTCAGATGCATATTTTGGATTTAAAATGGGGGTATTTTGAAGTGAAGGTTCACACGACTCCATTTTAGTGGAACTAATTCGCTTGTGACATATGGAATGTAGTCTGTTATTACAAATAACAATATATTTCATTTAATGCTGGGGTCAGTAATCGGGCTGTAGTAAAATATAAAACAATTGGTCTGACCGTATTTGACGTGCAAAGAAAAACGGTAATTAAAGACCCAGACCAGGCTAGAAATGAAGGTGAAAACTGAAAAGTCAGACCTGTAGTCAGGGACGAAAATCTATTCGTGTTGTGTCTGACAGTTTGATTTCGTTCTAAGTCGTTGAACGCGTTTGCTCGGATTTTTTCTTTTATGAAATGAATAAAAATGGTGAAATACGAACAATCGTGGTTAGAGAATTTTGCCCTCTTCTGGTGCATTTGTACAGAACCGTCGTTAGAAGGTTTAAACAAGGTCAACATTCATAAGTCAATGCTTACACACTGTTAAACATCGCTTTCCAAAGAAGCTAGTCGGGCATAAGAAGAAATAGACGTCAAGCAACGCGCAACACAATTCATTTGCAATTTTCGGCTGTCTTTAATTGTATAGACCAATTGCGAAACTTAGTAACCGCGCCTTCGCTCAACATGGAAACGAGGCTTATTATGCAAAAAACAATATTTCCATTTTTTGTAGTACAAAGCTATTCGCCGAGTTATATGCCGTTTTTCGCCTTTGTTTTACATATTTTTCGATTCCTATCAGCTTGGTTTCATCGTTGTTATCATAGTTTTCAGGTTAGGAAGTTTTGCCTTTCAATTGAGGCGTTTTTGTGGTATTTTCATTAATCTTTTTGGCTGCTTTCGTCGAGGAAATATAGAAAAGGCCGACACAAACTCAGGTAAAACTTTAGTTTTTCCAAACTATTTGGTCTCAAGTTTTGAAAATGTATTTCATTTTTCTCCCTCTTATTTGTGCAAAATTTGGCGATATATAATTGGTGCAAAATCTATGTTTTTTATGTCAAAAATTATTGAAAAGTCACGATCGAACAAACCACCATGTTCACATTTCTCATCTAAAATTTTTTTATACCAATTTTATCGATCGATAAGATGTAATTACACAGCAATTTTTCAGCTCAGCAAAAAAAGTAGTAGAAATCTATAAGAGATAAAATAAGCAACGGAGTTTTATGTTTATTTTCCCTGTGTATATAGACTACAGAGTACAGTACATGTGATCTGATGCTGACTGAAAAGCAAAACAACTCTTCAACTTGGCACACATGCATGACATGGATAGTAAAATACTTATAACCAAAACATAATATCATTGTCTATTTTGAATTGCCATTTGAATATTCCTTTTCCCCCTATATTATACTATAAAGGTAGCCACAATGCGAGCTGCAGCGTTTTTTAAGATAAACCTTTACATGATGGCAAAGTCGAAAGCGAAAAATATTTAAACCGGAGTTTGCAAGTGTTTTTCCGTTTACGATGGTGAACGGGATCCTTTCCTTTTCAAGTATTCCTGGTTAAACCTTATTAAACATCTATTGCATGGTAGTAGATAGAAAGAATAGTGTTTTGTACTAACAAAAATGCAGAATTCAGATGCAAACTCAGATGCATTCGAATTCGACTTTTATAAAATTCGGCCTTCAGGCCGGCATGCAAGCTATACATCGTCTGTACTTTATTAAAACGAAAATAAACAAAAACATTTCAGTCAGTTACTTTTGAACATTTTAACAGTATTACTGTGGTATAAAGAAAAAAAAAACAGTGATATTTGTCAATAAATTTAAATAAATGAAGCCATTTCAGTCATCAGGTTTGAAAATTATATAATCTGACTGTCACTTTTCAATAATTTTTGACATAAAAAAACATAGATTTTGCACCAAATATATATCGCCAAATTTTGCACAAATAAGAGGGAGAAAAATGAAATACATTTTCAAAACTTGAGACGAAATAGTTTGGAAAAATTAAATTTTTACCTGAGTTTGTGTCGGCCTTTTCCATACTTCCCCGACGAAAGCAGCCGAAAAGATTAATGAAAACACCACAAAAATGCCTCAATTGAAAGGCAAAACTTCCTAACCTGAAAACTATGATAACAACGATGAAACCAAGCTGAAAGGTATCGAAAAATATGTAAAACAAAGGCGAAAACCGGCATATAACTCGGCGAATTGCTTTGTACTGCAAAAAATACAAATATTATTTTTTGCATAATAAGCCTCGTTTCCATGTTGCACGAAGGCGCGGTCACTAAGTTTCGCAATTGGTCTATTTCACTTTTTATTTTTCACTTCCAAGGATGCTTACTCGCGCGCTTGCTCAGCTTAGCCACTGATCTATGTTAAAGCCTGTAGTGTGCCTATTTAAAGTTCGCCCTGGGTACGAGCCTGAACGATACCCACTGGGCTTCTTTTTCACTTAAGAAACGATAGAAAAAAAATTCTTAACGGCGCGAGGCCTCCTCGAGACAAAATTGAGTCATTTTTACATTTTAGTGTGGAAGTACAAGTGTCTGCGAATATGGTCCAAAACATCTTCGAGACGATGAAATAACTTCTCAGAGTCCAATGCAGTCTCCATCATTAGCAATTGTGAAGTTTTTGGTTAAATATTGTGGTGCTGATTTAAAGTGCAAAGATGAGTTGGAGAGATCTGCTTTACATCATGCTGTTGATGTTGGTGAAACAGACATTGTCAAATATTTTGTTGAACAATGTGGCGCTGATGTAAATGACAAGAATAAAGTAGGGTGGACAGTGCTTAAACATGCTGTTGCTGAAGGTTCGCTAGAAATTGTAAAATATCTTGTTGAAAATGGCGCTAATGTAAATTATAACAGTACATACGGATGGACAGTGCTTCACGATGCTGTTACTAAAGGTAGTCTAGAAATGGTAAAATATCTTGTTGAAAACGGTGCTGATGTAAACAGGAAGAAAATTAACGGGGAGACAGTCCTGTATGCTGCTGTTAGTGAAAATAGACTAGAAATGGTCAAATATTTTGTTGAAAAGGGCGCTGAAATAAATGGCAAAGATATTTACGGAGAGACAGTGCTGCACTCTGCTGTAACTCAAGGTTCGCTAGAAATGGTAAAATATCTCGTTGAAAACAGGGCTGATGTAAATAGTGGGAAAACTAACGGGTGGACAGTGCTGCACTCTGCCGTTACTGAAGGTACGCTAGAAATGGTAAAATATCTTGTTGAAAACGGCGCTGATTTAAATGGTAAGATGACTAACGGGTGGACAGTGCTGCACGCTGCCGTTACCAGAGGTACACTGGAAATAGTAAAATACCTTGTTGAAAAACGCGCTGATGTAAATGGAAAGAAAACTAACGGGTGGACAGTGCTGCACACTGCTGTTACTAAGGGTACACTAGAAATGGTAAAATATCTTGTTGAACATGGCGCTGATTTAAATCGCCAGAAAACCAAGGGGTTGACAGTGCTGCACAAAGCTGTTACTAAAGGTACGCTAGAAAGAGTGAAATATCTTGTTGAACATGGCGCTGATGTGAATGGAAAGGATACTGACGGATGGACAGTGCTGCGCTATGCTGTTACTAAAGGTAAACTAGAAATGGTAAAATATCTTGTTCAAAATGGAGCTGATGTAAATGGAAAAGATACTCACGGATCGAGAGTGCTGCACACTGCTGTTACTGAAGGTAGGCTAGATATAGTAAAATGTCTTGTTGAACATGGTGCCGACGTAACTCTTGAAAGTAAACGTAGCGTTCATACTCTTGGCATTGACATCCTGAAGAGGGCTGTTGAGAAAAATTCAGTTGCTTTAGTCAATCTTTTGTTGGAAAAGAACATCGCTGTGTGGAGAGCTGGAACATTTTTTGTTGAAGGAAAACAAATGAGCCTTCTTGAATGGAGTATTCACCTTGGTCATGATGAGATTACAACTATCCTCAAAAGGTCCGTAAATCATCGTGAGAAGATTCAGAGGTTGAAAACAATGAATTGCAACCAGTTAGATAAGGTAAATATTTTTTAAACATATATGAAGTTGTTTCAGTGAGCTTAGGCAGTAACCAAGGTTAATGGAAGTGTACCATCCACGACGTGGTAGCACGACAACGCAATTTTAAACACTCGAATGCTTTTTCTTGCTTCTTTCTTCTCCCCACAGAAAATCTATTGTTTTTTAATATTAATTTTCTCCCCATAGGTTGAAACACCGATGCAGGCTTTTGTGGCAAAGAACCAATTCAAAATTGGCGATGGTGGTTTTTCTTGTGTCTATGTTGGTCTCATGAAGGGTGAAAGTGAAGTTGCTGTTAAGAGAATTTTGATACAAAGTGAGGATAAAACAGTTGAAAACGAAAAGGAAATCATGAGACTCATTGAAGCAAACAACTCTCCATTCATAGTGAACTATCGACATTTTCACCGTGACGATACCTTCATGTATCTTATTGTTGATCTTTGCGAAGAAAACTTGAAGGAACTTGTTTATGCATGCAATATTGAACATCTACAAAAGCACGGGCCACGAATGATTTGGGAAATTTTATCAGGACTTGAATTTCTTCATGGTAAAGGAATATTGCACAGAGATCTAAAACCATCAAACGTTCTGGTTGATATCGAAGGTCGCATGAAATTGGCAGATTTTGGAATAAGCCGTGTTCTAGATGACGATGAAACGACAATTGAAACATTTGCTAAAGGTACTCCTGGATGGATGCCACCGGAAGTAATTGAAGCAATAGACAAAGGGGAAAAAGGTCCTTTTAAAAGGAAATCGGATGTTCAGGTCGCGGGTATGATTGCTTTCTTCATCTTGACTAAAGGTGAACATCCGTTTGGATCAAAGATAAATTGGATGCAAAATATTTTGGAGGGAAACTCTGTCAATTTGAGGAAACTTGCTAATCGCAGAGCTCGTAGGTTTGTGTCGTGGTTGATTAATCACAAGATTGACGATAGACCTTACGCTTACGAAGCATTGGGGGATTCTTATTTTTCAACACCACAACGAACACAGCAAACAATTAGACAACCAACCACGACGTTTGTTTGAAATGATGAATCCTTCTTAGCCCAACTTTGTCTTAAAGGGGAAACTAACTTGCAGCGACCCAAGAGCGACAGAACATAGCTAATTTTAAAATACTTATCACAATATTTTAGTAGAGGGAGGAGGGGACAGCCCAAGTTTGTCCTTGAAGGGGAACTTTTGAGCGACAAAAATTCGACACAAGGGCGACAGAACCAGTCTTATCAGGCGACAATAAAGCAATGCTGAACGCGAACGCTATGGATTTGCATTTCGTAGACGGTCGGTAGCAGCAACCTTGATGTTCGGTAGCATCATTTACCGCTTCGGAAGTCACCGTGCATTTCGCGACACTTTCCGAATCCTTTCGTCAAAAAATCGGTAAGACATTGAATACTGTTTAAGGTATTTTAATTATTTACGAATTTGCTCTATCGACGTGATTTTCAATTCTGTTTTAATCATCGTGATAATAGTTTAGCAGAATGTGCTGTAGTTCTTATTAATAAATTGAAATTAGCTCCAGTTATAATAAATATATATATTTCTTAGACTTTAAATATCCTAACACGACGTGTGGTTGGTTCAGGTAGAACCTCAATATTACAGTCTGCAATGTATTGTACAGTATTTGAAAGAAATATTTCATAATTGAGGGGCTGTTCACATTAGCCAGATTAGATGATTTTAGAAAAGCTGTTTGGACAATGGAGAACTAAGTAGCTATTTGTCATAACGTCTTTAAAATTATTGGATTATATTTGTTCGTTGCGAGAACGATTTCGCTAGGGACTTTTGATTTGAACTCATCTCTTGACGATTTAGTCTTTCAGACTGGACTTTGTGGATATCGTCTTCACCGTTATCGCAACATGAGCTGAGAGAGTTACGAGGAACTTCTTCGATTCCTTTTGCTTGTTCTCTGTCTCATGAAGTGTTCTCGCGTAATTTAATAATTCGGTTTATGAGAGAGCAGGTGTGCGGAATGAATATCGACCTAGTTTCTTAAAAATATATAATTGAAGTTCGCAGAAGCTTTTGTGGTGTTATAGATGCTCCAGGTCTGTGCATCCAGGTTTAATCTGTAACTCGAGCTGCAAAGCGGAAATTGGATCTTACTGGTTTATTGACTATTGTGAAATACCACAGACGATAGTTGATTTTGATGACAAAGATTTTTATTCGATATATTTGTTTCATTTTCAATGCTGCATCGACGCTCTTTATTATGATGTAGAACATAAACCATTGAAAGTCGGTAAGTAGATTAGAATCACAGTGATTCGCTTCAGCACTGGAGAATTCAGAAGCGACTAGAAATCATGTTATGATTGAGTTGCATATTTGTGCAATTTATTGTGTGTCGCATTATTAAATTGCCAAACTAACTACAAGAATTTTACATCAGTGATTTAAGAAGTGTTCATGTCAACCTCAGAGGGGTTACCTCAAATGGGGGTATTTTGTTGAGGTAAAGTTTCACACGATCGCGATTCCATTTTGGTAGAACCAATTCACTTGTGATGTATGGAATGTAGTCTGTTATTGATAAAGCAGTTCATTCGTTTTAGTTGTTTCCCTGTCCAGATATACATTGCAATTCAACAAACTATAAAACATCCATCAGAAGTGAATTGGATCTGACGAGTTTGATCGTGTGAACAGAACTTTAAAGTTCCATCATTACAGGGAATTACAAATAACAATTTGTTTCATTTAATGCTGGGGTCTTAAAGCAAAAGTTATAGCGGGCTGTAGTAAAATACAAAAGAACTGGTCTGCCCGTTTTTAACGTGCAAAGAAAACCGGTCCTAAAGACCCAAACCATGCTAGAAACGAATGTAAAAAGGGACAAAAATCTATTCGTCGTGTGTCTGAAAATTTGATTTCGTTCTAAGCCAATGAACGTGTTTGTTTACAAGGCCTCTTTTGTCTCCCTAGTTCCTTACTAATAACTCATAGAATTACAATCAAACTTCAACTTACACTTCCGGGTAAGTCTCGTTTAATTTTTAAGTTCTATTTCGTCATTAGTTACGTCACTAGGGAGTCACAATGAGACTTCAAAGCTGTGCAATCACTAGCAGGCCGAAGTAGTAATGCCTTTAATAATAACAATGTGCATTACATCCCATAAACTATAACAAAATAACATAACAAAACTCGTTTCTAGCTTAGCGACTGTAAAAGAGCCTCTCCAAAGTTTACAAGGACTCTTTTGTCTCGCCGGAAATTATAAAATGATGCTCTATTCTTTAAGCTATTTTCAAACATCTTTATCCAGTATTCTAAGTACTTTTCAAGTGCCCTTAAAACTGGTTCTTTTATTCATGCACTTTTCAAGTTTTTTTAAGGACCTCCACGAACCATGTGGCAATTTGATTTACAAGACATTTGAAAGTACAAAGTTGAGGTCAATTATAGTTTTATAGTCTTTTCAGGAACTGCGAGAGCACACGAGAGTCTTAACACTGAATTACTTCGAAATCTGGAATGAAAATATAGCTACAAGTATTCGCTGATGTCTTGCGATGGATTGGCTTCTATATACAGGTAAAGTAGCTCAGTTTTTTACCCAGGCCACAGCAGCCAAAAATTGCGTGATAATTTGTACGCAAGAAATTTTTCGGTAATTTTTCGGTAACATAGTGTAATAATATATAGTTAGATTAGGTAGGCATCACTTTTTATATTTACGAAACTTGCCCCTTATACAATAACAAAATACCCCAAATATTGAAATATAGTAAACTAATCTCTGATAATGTTCCTAAATTCTTACGAACGAAATGTACACAAAGGTAAAGTGTACACAAATATCGCGTTCAGCCAATAGTATATAGATCAGTAACTGAAAAAAGAAAGCGCGGCACGTGTTTCACTTTCTTGTTTTCCCTAATCTTTTTTGGAAAACGTAAAAGTTCCACACAGAAACTATATGCTGGTTTTTCCCAAAATTTTGTCGAATTTTTGTCGCTACAAATTTTCTTTTGAATTTCCACACAGAGATTTAGGGACCATTCGCAGATTTGTTAAGGTTATGAAGGTCTTGATATATGGCTTAATTTTAACTATCATATTTTTAAACACAGATTACAATATTGAAAATTTATGAAACCAGTAAGTTTCCTTTCAAAGAACGGAAAGTATATATATATATATAGACAATACTGCTATACATATAAATAGAACAAGTTAGTTTGACGTACAAACTCTCAACTATCATAAACAGTTTATATTTGTCAAGGTAAGTATTTGTCAGTCCGCGACTGATTCGACAGATTATCACTAAACAATCTGGCTACTAGTTCGGACATAAAACTCGCTGTCACTGTGCGTCATTTATATGAGCAGGAATTTTTAAGAATGCTTGTCAACTTCTTATGTTTCTTTCATCTCTGTAGAAAAGTTCTGTATTTCGTTTCTATTAGTTTCCATTAACGAAAGAATCTCTCAGTGCTTCGTGAGCGTGAGGTCTCTTATCAATATTGTGATTAATCAGCCACGACACAAACTTTCGAGCTCTGCGATCACCAAGTTTCTTTAAATTGACATAGTTTCCTTTAAAAATATTTTTCATTTGAACTAACTTAGAACCAAAAGGGTGTTCGCCTTCAGTTAAGATGAAGAAAGCAATCATACCCGTGACGTGGACATCTGATTTCTTTTTGAAGGGACCTTTTTCGTGCTTCTCTCCTGCTTCAATTACTTCCGGTGGAACCCATCCTTCAGTACCTTTAGCGTATGTTTGAACTGTCGTTTCATCGTCATTTAGAACGCGCCTTATTCCAAAGTCTGCCAATTTCATGCGGCCTTCGATATCAACCAGGACGTTTGATGGTTTTAGATCTCTGTGCAATATTCCTTTACTATGAAGAATATCAAATCCTGATAGAATTTCCCTAATCATTCGTGGCCCATGCTCTTGTAGATGTTCAATACTGCATGCATGAACACCTTCCCTCAAGGTTTCATCGCAAAGATCAAGAATAAGATACATGAAGGTATCGTCACGGTGAAAATGTCGATATTTCACTATAAAGGGAGAGTTGTCTGTTTTAATAAGATTCATGATTTCCTGTTCGGTTTCAACTGTTTTGTCCTCGCTTTGTACCAAAATTCTCTTAACAGCAACTTCACTTCCATCCTTCATGAGACCAACATAGACACAAGAAAAACCACCATCGCCAATTTTGAATTGATTCTTTGCAACAAAAGCCTGCATCTGTGTTTCAACCTATGGGGAGAAAATTAATATTAAAAAAGCATAAGTTTTCTGTGGTCTGAAGAACGAAGTAAAAAAGCATTTGAATGTTTACATAAATAAAGGCAATAAATCATTAACAATATTCACACATCACACGAGCCTGGCTAAACAGGGACGAAACCCAATTGTGTTGCAGTCGCGCAGCAGATTAAAGCTTGTCGTGCTACCACGTCGTGGATAGTAAACTTCGTGCTACCACGTCGTGGATCGTAAACTTCATGCTACCACGTCGTGGATCGTAAACTTCATGCTTCAAGATTGACCAAAGCAAGTGAATTCTTCACAACAGCGATCTTCAGGATGTCAATGCCAAGAGTATGAACGCTGCTTTTACTTTTCAGAGTTAAGTCAGCACCCTGTTAAACAATATATTTAACTATTTCTAGCCTACCTTCAGCGACAGCGGTGTACAGCACTGTCCATCCGTCAGTACCCTCGCCATTTACATCAGCGCCATGTTCAACAAGTTATTTCACTATTTCTAGCATACCTGTAGTAACAGCGTAGTGCAAGACTGTCTTCCCGTGAGTATCCTTGCCATTTACATCAGCGCCATGTTCAACAAGATATTCCACTATTTCTAGCATACCTTTAGTAACAGCGTAGTGCAAGACTGTCCTCCCGTAAGTATCCTTGCCATTTACATAAGCGCCATGTTCAAAAAGATATTCCACTATTTCTAGCATAGCTTCAGTAGCAGCGTAGTACAAAACTGTCCTCGTAAGTACCCTTGCCATTTACATCATCGCCATGTTCAACAAGATATTCCACTAGAAATCAGTGCTAGATATCTAGCAAACCTTTAGTAACAGCGTAGTGCAAGACTGTCCTCCCGTAAGTATCCTTGCCATTCACATAAGCGCCATGTTCAAAAAGATGGTAGATCTGTTTACGTTGTAACCAAAGCAAAGCATTCATGCCCTAAACCACAAAATTCTAAATCCGTATTTCGCTTATGCCATTTAACAAGTCCGCGGTAATTCTCAACAAGTGGGAAAATTGTCTGGGAACGCGCGTAGTTTTCAACGAACAGTTTATAAAAATATTTAAAATTTTTATCGAAATTAACAATCGAAAATTCGAATCGAAATTAACCGCTATATTTTTTGTGCTAACCGGCTGAACACGCCTTGGAAACTCGCCACAAATTAAGGAAACAGACATAATTAAAACTTAAATTATATTGTAAACTTTATTAATTTTAGATCGAATAAAAACCCAACATTGGATATACGATTTGGGAGTATTTCAGGCTAACCGGTCATTACAAAGATATGAGTATGTAAATGTAGCCTTCCTGCAGAGCCGATGCAAATGTCGATACAAGAGAAGTGCGATCTTTGATCAAAAACAGTAAGCTGTCTGTTATCGAGACAATAAGGAGGAATTTCGTTTTAAACTACACGCGTAAAAATCATCATGTTGATGCAAGTTGTTAAAAACAGAAGTGAACAATGTTGTGCTGCACCCTGCGAACAGTATTGTTAACAATGTTGTTGAATCTTGTTGAATATAATCGTCAATGTTGTTGCAACCATTGCATGTTTATATAGTCTACTATATAAACATGCATACATAATTTAAAAATTAAACGAGACTTATACCTGGAAGTGTAAGTTGAAGTTTGATTGTAATTCTATGAGTTATTAGTAAGGAACTAGGGAGTCACAATGAGATATGCGCGCGCATATCAAGCAGTCAGTCTTTAAAGCGGTGATAGTGATTGTACCCCCAGGGAGGGTAATGCATACCAACAAAGGGTGGGTGACTCCCTAGTTCCTTACTAATAACTCATAGAATTACAATCAAACTTCAACTTACACTTCCAGGTAAGTCTCGTTTAATTTTTAAATTCTATTTCGTCATTGGTTAATAATTTCAGCTAGCTTCTGTGATATTGCCGGGCCGGTGTCCTCTTGCTGCAAGAAGTCTTGTTCAATGTCAAACAACAGTGAGTCATTGCTGTCCGGTTGCTCAAGTCGAGCTGATTGATCACCTTCGGCCGAGTCGGCATTGGAAGGGTCAATAGAATGAACAGGCGGTGATAAATCGTCGACATTATCGTCCGTCACGTCCATAATAGATGCTTTTCTCTTCTTTAGCTGAACCGTCGCTGTTGAAGCTGGGGAATGCAGGCGTTTTAGCCAGTAGCGTAGCCAGCCTGTCGATTTGTCCCGCTATGCTAATATTTTAGTGTTCACTGACTGTGAAAACAATAGATTTCAAAAGACATGAATAATTATAATTGCTCGAAATTTACATAGCGGGACAAAATCGTCAGGCTGGCTACGCCACTGGTTTTAGCGATACTTCCATCGCTTGCATAGAGCCCGCCATAATTTAATGCGATTTCGAAAAGTTGGTCATCACATTCTTTACATCATTTGTTTCATCTTGTTGCTCCTGAACTTGGTCTTCGTCGTCTTCTGCCAAAAGTTCATCTTCGTCCACAACGTTTTGACTCATTTTTACCGACGTTACGTATGAATAGATGAATAAAAAATCTAATAAATGAATAAAAAATCTAAATATTTCCGCTTAAAAAATTTCACAGACTACTTGCTTGTAAACACGTGCAAAAACTGACTGCTTGATATGCGCGCGCATATCTCATTGTGACTCCATAGTGACGTAACTAATGACGAAATAGAATTTCTACCATTAAGGCACGTTCCACCAATATAATATGAATTATCAATATAAACAAAGCCATTGTTATCGGCCATCTCCTTAACTTTTTGTTGAGCTCCAATAGCTTAGCTGACATACAGTAGGAGGCAGAAGTTTGAGTTTAGTGACTGTATTTCATTTTTTTAGCAGCATATATTAATATTCTACAGAAAACCTTATACCGATAAGTGAACTAGAAAAAAGGAAAAAAGTAAAGTGAAAAATACATGCTATACAACAACTATGAGATGTTATGATATTCATTTAAAGTATGTTAATGTGCAAACATGCATTACATGTTAATGCTTAGTATGCCTCTTTTTTGCTCTTGAAACGGCCTTTATTCTTGCTGGCATATATTCCATAGGTTTTTTAATGTCGCACGTTCAATACCTTGCCAGCATTCGTTGACCACTTGCCTCAAGTCATCCTGGCTGGTGGGTCTGTGCCTCGCCCTTTTCCAGTTAAAACGGTCCTACAAGTGTTCCATAAGTTTAGATCTGGAATTTGAAGTGGAAAGTCATGAGATCGAGATCACCAGAACGAGTTTGCTTCTAAAAGATTTCTGGCACAAAGAAAATGTTCATGTGCTTATGGTGATTATCATGTAGTTAGA